GACAACAGGTGTAAACAACAGGTGTAGACAACAGGTGTAAACAACAGGTGTAGACAACAGGTGTAGGCCATAGGTGTAAACATCAGGTGTAGACAACAGGTGTAGACCATAGGTGTAAACAACAGGTGTAGACAACAGGTGTAGACCATAGGTGTAAACAACAGGTGTAGACAACAGGTAGTAACAGCAAATAAAAACTACTTAAGGAGGAAAGATATTCAACAACATGTTCTAACAACATGACTACAGACAGAACAAAATGACATAATCTGTCAACACAAGGTAGAACATGGACAAAGGCTCAACGACATATTTTTGGCACAAATGGAACTCCATATATGTAAGAATGTGTGTGGTTAAATAAATGGGGGCACACGTTGGGACATTTAGCCTTTATAACTATGTTCTGTTCGTCCTGCAGCAGAAGAACTGTACAAAATAAAAGTATTATTTCCTCCCAGTTCAAGAAGTCTCATTTTGAACCTGTTATTTACTTTGGTTTCTATCTGAAGTCAGAGGCACTACACCTGCTCGAAACCTGATCTAGAGCCTGATTCTGGTCAATATCAAGACTTAAAACACAATAAATTAAAGGGATGACTTTGGTAGTTTATTTTTGTTCTTATGTTGCAGCCTATTAATTATTTAAATAACAATGTACGGTACATTATTTTTGTTTTAAAATAAGCCTAATGATTATGATAGATAAATCATTGTTGTGATTTTTATTCAGAGCCTCCTCCTCCTCCTGCTCCTCCTGCTCCTCCTCCTCAGGCCCAGCTGTGATTAAGGACAAAATGTGGCTCTGAGCCTTTGTGGAAGGAGTGAAACAGTTTTTTGTTCCTCTAAATAATGATTTTGACATGGATTTGTTGAAAGTCAACAGGAGAATATTTCTCTTTGTTTTATTTGTTGGAAGTAAAGTCAAATCATTTTGGTTGGAGCTGGAAAACCTCTGAGTGTTTTTTTTTTTGATTTGGTGCGTTGAGAACCTCCTCCTGAACAACACTCAGACATTGTTGGACAATATCTGAATACAGGAGTAGCTGAAACATTATTATATAAACTTAGTACACATAGACATGAATGCATGAAAAGTTCTGACAGATAGACCTGTGACACCTTTAGCTGGACGTACACACAGTGTGGACCACTTTTAGCTGGACGTACACACAGTGTGGACCACTTTTAGCTGGACGTACACACAATGCGGACCACCTTTAGCTGGATGTACACACAATGCGG